TGCGCATTTATAATTATATATGTGTAAGCGCGAGTGCGAAAATAAACCCTCGCAAAATAGAAACTCGAACTCGACATAGTTCTCGCTTTTTTCAGATACGAAAAACTAAAATAAAATCTCTCTTAATCATGTACGCACTGTCTCGCTCTTTTTTCATCATTCTGCATTTGTATTTGTCTATTAAGTTTTATTTATATAAACTGTACGTATAATTGTATATTACTAGCTTCACTGGTCCGTAATATTTTTTCTCGTTCGTCTCTCCTTACATATAATTATTTCTCGTCATTTTTTCTTTTATTTTCTTCCTTCTTGTGCCTAATTTAATTTCAAAGCAAAAAAGAAAATGAAAAATAGGAGAGAAAAATAGGAGAGAAAAAGATGTTGAGAAAAAGATACACGTACGTCAATGAACGATAAGGAAAAAAAATTAAAATTAAGTCAAACGAGCTTTATAAATGACGTAAGAAATAAAAGCAGACGCACGCATTTCATTTAATAATGTGCACAGTCTGCCTGATCTCTCAAAAACAAAAATGACTGTTAGTCACTATTCGTTCTTAAATTATTTTTCTTTTCATCTCTCTTTTTTGTATATATTATTACTGTTTTACACTGCCCATAGTTAATCGTGTACAGATAATACAAGTACATATTTTTGTAATAAAAAATTAAAAGCAAACCGATAATTAAATGGTAAAAGATAATCAGTAATATATACCAATAAATATAAAAAAATGAATTTCATCTCTTGCATTTTTCTTGTTGTCGGCATCTCTTATTATTTAATAACATCAAGAACCTCTACATTATTTAGCGGTCGGTCAGCAAGCATCGTGCCGATCTTATTGCACTTATCATTCTCATTCATACTTATTTATATTTTCTTCTCTCTATTTTAAAATTTGAGAGAATCGAATATTTGGTATATTTTACATATTTTATATACACGTGCAATAATATAATTGCGTACCGTTCAATTTCTAAATTATACCATTCTATTTCGCACGCGAAAATGAAATTTGGTATTTATTTATAATTACAATTGTATTATTCAGCATTATGCAAATAATTATATGCGATTTCTCAATAATGTAAACAAAAACAATACGAAATTAAAAATACCACTACACCGCAGATTAAAAATGATAAATTAAAAATTGCCACCATATTAAAGCTTTTAAATATATTTACATGGCTTATTACTCTTCTCATAAATTTTAGTCTAATGTTTCGACATATAATATGGAATAGCCTAAAAAAATACAATAATCGCAAAAATTAATTACGCCAATGTAAATTTATTTTTAACAATTATTACAGTAAAATATTATGCCTTGAAGGTAACCTAAGATATGAGAAAGATTTTAAAATCACGAGCGCTTTCGATTATAAATATTAGCTTTCGACAAATATAACTATACCGTGGGATAGATGACAATTTAATCAAATTAGCTCAATTATTTTCATTGCTTTCGCTTGAAAAATTAATGAAAGATGCAATGATAAATCTCAGATGTTGCATAGTTGCACCTTAGATAAAAGAATAAAAACAAAATAAAAAAATAAAATATTAAATCTTCTGATTAAGGTACTATTGCAATTCCTTCATCTTGTATTTAAAAGAATAAAAATAAGACTACAATTAGGCAATTTATGCCACCTGTAATTGTTAGTAACCAACAGTCCAAATAAAAAGCGCATATCCCGCTCTAAAACGAGTGGGGTCATTACTGTATAACAAATCGCGATAAAAAATTCAATGTTTCCATCGTCGAGCTCAAAGATCCGTTCTCTTAACGAAAAACAATAAAAACGAATTACATGAAAAGCAACCACGTGAGCAAGAGAGTTTAAACTATACGAGAGCGCCTTGGCGTCGGATACGATGATTGAACTCAATTCCCAATTAAGTTAAGAATATACGTGATCCAAGTCAAGCCTCGGGAGTCGAATGTAAAAAATTGAGTATCAAACGAAGGAGCATAAACAAGAATTTAATTTTCCTTTTGCCAGTTTACGTATAAAATAATGCGTAGTTGCCTATTACAAAACCGTTATAGTCACTCCTTATTAATTCCTTACCCTTTGTTCGACAGAAAAATTATAAAATACATGAACTATTGTTATATTGAAAAAAACACTCGCAATAAACCGGACAACAAAAATATGAATAGTCACGCCGTACCCTTCCCTTGTATAGTTAGTTGTTTCGCCCCATCTTTTATGTACAATGAATTGCCTAAATAAAATTGCGCGTACAAATAAATGTCTGTATTTAACTAATTATGTAATAGAGTAAGTTCTGGCAACGAATAAATAATGAACCCTTTATCTGTCATCCTTATGCTACGGTTATTTTTAGCACTTTGTTCGTACAAAATTTTTCCCTCTATGGCGCTCTAATGCATATGTACTTATATTAATTCATTGTCGAACTTTGCACTTGTACATGTACATGTATTTATGCATACGGATAGTGTATCTGTATAGTTTATCAAATGCTAAACATAAAAAATAAATGAAATATATGTGACCTTTTGGCGATAAGGATGATTTCATCCGAATGGTGATTTAACTGAAAAATATATTGTTTAAGATAAAGATTTACCAATATTAAATTTCTTTATACTTGCAGTTTTTTAATGTTCTGAAATGCACTCGCGCGTGACAGAAATTTTTTCATTTTTTTATGTGGTTAATAAAGCTAGTGAGCATAAAGGGAAAATGATATAAGGGAGGAAATACTATACAAAAAATTAAAATGTTTAAAAATGATTTCGAGTCTTAGGAAATAATCGTTTTGATATGAAACACATATTTATCGTTACAAAAATGTACTCTCAAAACAGTATTTATATAGTTTGCGTTAAAACACGAAGAAATTCGTTTTATAATAATTTATATAATTACTTAAGCGGGAGAATATAATCTCGTTATAACATACAAAAAATGAATTCTACTCAATTTAAGGCTTCTATTAAGAATTAATTTTCGTACTTATAAATGATATATTCGTCGCGAAAATATTTATGAACTTGTTTGAAGTGTTGGCTCTCTCTCTCTCTCTCTCTCTTTACGGTCACGTGTGTGTATGGATGTGTACACGCGGGAGCGTAAATGTCCACATTGCAGACCTAAAACTTCTCGAAATCTGAAATATCAGGCATTCGAAGGCCAATTTTTTTTTTTTTTTTTTGTTCAAACATTTTGACTTGCGACAAATTCTTTCGCATTGCCCTCAATCACGAGTTTTCAGCTTGGGCCTAGTAAAAATTCTAAAATCCCGTATACATCACTAATAACTACTCGCTTTTTTCGTTATCTCGCTTTTATATTATGAATTATTAAAAGGTCACGAGAAAATTTCTGATAGCTATTTAAAATACTTATTACGCTGTAGAAAAATTTTTCGTGCATAGAGATTATAAATTGAATGCATTTCGACACGTTCCATTTTTTCTCACAATATAAATTACCCTCCTCCTCTTATTCGCCCCTTATTTTTTAACTAATTTATTTGTTAACGAGAACTGAACCATCGATCTCAACCAAATATATACTTTAGTTTAATAATTATGACTTTCGTTATTTCCTTGTTTTCTTTTCATTTATTTTACATTATTTTTCTATTGTTATTTCATCCTTGTTCTTTACTTTCTATGCTTCGACAGCCAAGCTTACAGCCAAAAAAATATAATTAATGTGTCTGTCACGTGCGTATATGTATGTAAGTAGTAACGTACGGCCTTAGGCAGACACAACACAAAAATACTAGAAAGAAACGAAATTGACGCATTACCAAGAAGTTACAACTATTAACCGTATTTGTTTTTTACTTTTTTTTCGTTTTTATTATTGTGGGCTGTATTCATATAGTAACTGACTTCAAAAGATAGATTATGGACTTCAACCAGATTATTTAATTGTATTAATAGCAAAAGTGCTTCTATGAAATATCCTCTTTGTTCGTGCTGTAAATATATATATTTATTAAGCGCTTGTCGATCGCCGATCGAGCCGTATAGTGTGCTCTTGTTACAAAGTCAATAATTATACGTTCTTTAATTATTTTAAAAATTACTTTTTTAGTCTGCGATGGAGCATCTGGATCCTTTATCACGCGCCGACGTATTTTCACGGAGGATGATGTGGTTGTGGGGAGGAAGAAAGGAAAAAGAGACAGATTCCTTGCTCTTTTCTAGTGGATACGTTCATTCGCATCAATTATAATACGTCACAATCACGCTTTCCGACCGAAAAAATGCTATTCTAATATGCCTTAACTCTTATTCTCTGCCGACGACGATCTTTACAACCTGACTTTATAATGAATGACTCAACTCAGATATCTCGGATTTAACGAGTAAAAACAATAATATGCATCTAGTACTAACATACAATCACAATTTCTCTTGTCTCACTTCACTCATTCAAAACTGCACAAACGAAGCGACCATGAACACTTGTATTCTACCAACTTGATCTGCATCAGCTGATCGCTCGAAAAACTCATCAGTATGCGATAAGCAGAGGATTCTCCTTCCTACTCACCTTGGTCTTCTTTCTGTAATATATAGTTTTTGTTTTATACACGTCAACTAAAATAAATAAAGATGATTCACGTGTGTAATTGTTCATACGATGACGAAAATTATTTTTACTCCTTTCATTATTTAAATCTTCATTCTCCTTTTCTAATAACAAGCAATTCCACAATTTACAACAAAAATACTAAAAATTGATAACTAAAAATTCACAATTTTACACTTCACCTCTTTTCCTTTTTCTCTAATCACTTCATGTCTCTTTTAAATATTTGAGCTTTATTTGGGAATTGCTTATAAAGAATTGGGAGTGACAGAACACAACCTAGGAGAACAAAATAACTGTCCCTTGTCGGTAAAGAATTACTGGGTTAATAGGATTTTATTATCCTCTCTCTCTCTCCTAGGTGTCCAAGGTGCATGGGATATCAAACATGATGCTCTGTTCTCACATCCTCTGTTCTACAACTCCTTAATAAGTACAGCTGATAGCTGATATTGCATTAACTTTGTAATCTAATAACTTTTCAAAATTCAGCAAACTCCTTGGCGCACTTTTCTGTTGATGAGATTCTTAATATCTCTTCTTCGTAGTCATCGAAATTGCTAGTGTCACCAGGTCCCTTGCATCTTGGTATAAACGGTGCCTCGATTCGTTTTTGGAAGACAGCAATCCAATCAGTACTGGTAAACCACTTATGCCCCTTGATATCATTAACTCCAGCTTTCAAATTACCAAACCTCTTGGTCAGATCCACCTGGAGTAGACTACGTAAAAGATCTTTTAATTCTGAACCAAAATGTGTTGGAAACCTAACTTTGCCGCTGACTATCTTCTCATATATTTGAATAGGTTGATCGGCAAAAAAAGGAGGATAACCTGCTGCCATTTCATACACAAGAACTCCAAGGGCCCACCAGTCAACAGCCTTGTTGTAGCCTTTACTTAAAATAATTTCTGGAGCAAGATATTCAGGTGTTCCACAAAGTGTCCACGTTCTACCTTTGACTTTCTTAGCAAAGCCAAAATCTGTGACCTTGAGATAACCCTGTGAGTCAATCAGGAGATTCTCAGGTTTTAAATCTCTGTAGATAAGATCTAAGTGATGCAGGTACTCAAATGCCAAAACTATCTGCGCAGCATAAAATCTAGAATGTGGTTCCGAAAACCTGCCAACTTTTCTTAAATGGCTAAACATCTCACCACCTGGTACGTATTCTAGAACCATATAAAGATTTGAATTATCCTTAAAATGAAAGCGGAGAGAAACAAGAAAAGGAAATTCTATAGCCTGTAAAATTCTTTTTTCATTAAGAGTATGTTCAACTTGCTTAAGTTTAACAACTTTTTGTTTGTCCAAGATTTTCATAGCATAATATTCCTTGGTTGGCTTGTGTTGTACTATCATCACCCTTCCAAAAGAACCTGTGCCAAGGGTCTTGATCCTGTCAAAGTCATCAAGAGCTGCTGTATTTGTTGGATTCTTCTTCCATTTTTCTTCGAACTCTTCCTTTGCTTGCTCCAAGAATTCTTTGACGCTCTCTGCAGCATCTACCTTCTTATTGGAACTTGTGGCATTGTTGCCCATCTTATTGGAGCCGCTCGAGCCAGCTAGGGCTCCACGGATATCAAGTTTTCTCAGAATTTCGGTAGCTTTTTATTAACTTTGTAGCTGGCAAACTCTGCTCCCTCTTAATAATAAGAGAGCCTCCTATAAATCTATCTCTTTCACTACTCTCAGACTAGCACTTCCCAAGGACTATTTCTTCTGTAATTATTCAGTAATTATTGATCTTACGAATTTCGCGACTTTTTGAAAAGGAAGCAAAGAAAAAAGAAGACGGTAATGTTCCCCAGTAAATATATCAATGTTGCTCCCTTCGTAATATTATTGACTCCGCCATCCCGATACTGACTAATTCTTTTCCCTTGCCTATCTATAATGGCAATGGAAACCAAATTGGAAAAAGCACCTTTTCGATCAATTTTTCTTACAAGCTTCTCGTAGCAGCGTCCTACTCTTATTACCTATTGTGCTCTGTAACTCTGACACTTTTCTTGGACCCGTAAACAATTGCAGAAGAAAAAATTTACAACTCCACGTCGAACATATACTGGCGTTGAATATTCGTGACGCTGCACACACACTAAACTTCGAGGAATTTTTCTCTTCCCTCTTCTGTCTCTCTCCTCGTTTTGCTCTCCGCTCTCCTCTCTTCTCTCACCCTCGCACTCTCTTTTCCTCTCTAATGAATTTATTATTTTTCGTCGGCCCTGTCGTTGACTAAAAAGAGAATACACGCACAATGGTCGATGACGGGACACTCGTATACGTGTTAGTTAGTACTTACGCTCCGCAGGCACGTATATAACATACACGTATAGGCCCCTCTACTTTTTCGCGCATAGCACAAGCACGACGACGGCAAGCGCGCACATAAGCTCGAACAGGCGCAAAACAACGATGAACAGCGCGCAATACACGCACACTTATTAGCCATCCACGTTCCCGTGCCTACGCATGGATGTAAGGTACGTCGCTTATTCTCGTCCAAGTATCCACTAGCAAACCACACGGCAATTTACGACTGTGTCTAAAATTAAAAAGGAAACGGAACGGAACAGAAACTGTCCTACCCCGCGAGCTGTCTGAGCTCCACCGCACTCTATCACAGTGTTTCTACTTGCGACACTAGCGACTCTCTCGGCTCTTCGCTTTGTTTCTCCCTTACCCCCTCCCACCCGCAATCAACGTGTCTAGCTCACTTACGACAAAGTACGCATGAGCGTTAAAACGTTGAGTGTAGTCGTTATGTGCTGAAAATCACGTCATGTGCAAGACGTTTATTTTGATGCGCTTATTTTGACATCTGAGAGTAGGAGGAGGTGAATGGGACACTGCCGCGTCAAACTCGACTTCCGAAAACTTCCGAATCGAACATCGCTACTGACTGTCGTACCACCAGCAGGTGAAAGACCGTTGCAGCAGTACTTATCCTGTACTCGCTTTTGATTCTCAGCTAAAGATGGCGACGCGCAACGTGTAAGCGCTCCTCTCCGTCACTCTGTACACTTTATGTCTGTCGAGTCATAAACGAACTAGCAGATCCTTAATAGGTGGCAACGGGAATCAGTGCAGTGCGCGGATCTGCACCAATACACGCTAGCTGTTACGAATGCTACTACCACTGCTCGTCGCTGTTGATGCTTCTGCTCTTGCTACCGATGCTGCTGATGATGGTGCTGCTGCTGCCGTTGCTGTTGCTACCGCCGCTACCGCTGCTAATGTTACTAATGATAGTGGTAGTACGAGCAATGGTGGTGGTGGTACTGCTGCGGTCACGGCGGCGACTATCCGCGACGGCGCATACGTTATCTGTTTCTTTTATTCTTCTACATCCCTGTACTTTCAAATTATATGTCGGCTACTTTTGCATAAGCACTTGTGCACCTTTTAAAGAATCGAGATTATAATTGCTTACAAAGTTGCCAAATATTTGTCGATCTATCAGGTGGTAAGTTAAATACTTATACCTGGTTACTTACTCGACTTGCTACTTTTTTCTTATGCTTGCACTTCTTGCAAATGCAAATATTGAGTTGTGTGTATAAATAAATATATATCGATATAAGATTCGCTTGTAACTGAACGTTTAATTTGATACAGCTACCTTTATAAATTGCTTCCAAATATTCAAGTTTATGAGTTGATGGTCGATATCAAGTAAGCTTGCGAATTTAAGTGAAAGATGGCGCCACTAGAAAAATTGTCTACAGTTCCATCAAAATTAAAATACAAAAATATACGTAAATAATTAATAATATTAAACTTTAAATTGTAAAAGCATCTTAATCACAATATGCCAGTACGCGCGTGTGTGCTTTAATATAGTTACACTTATAATATAGTTGAACAATTTTTTTTTTTAAACAAATTATTTTTTAATTCTATTCAATAATCGTAAGATAGCAGAATAATATATATTTTTAAGGATGTTTAACACATTATCTACTTACATAAATAACAAATTATTTTTAACAGCTTAATATAAGTACTAATATTATTATGTTTCAACGTTTTTTCTTATTTTTAAAATTGTTTCCATAATTTAATTTCAATATTTTAAATATATAAGTATTGTATAAATAGCGATAAAGATTAAATGTTATAATTATTGTTTTATAATTATATATATATACAAATCCAATTTTTGTATTTTAGACATTATATATTGCAATATATTAATATCAAAATTATTATTGAAGAACAATAAAATTATTTAAAAGCTTTCTCTAGAATAAATAAATTTGTATAATTATTTAAATAAAATTGAGAATTTTAATATACTTTTATATATTAATTACGAAAAATATTAATTATGTATATTTAAAAAGATTATTTCTATCTTAAAAATGCAACTATATTAATAAATTTGATATCATCAGGTTAGAGCATATATTTCATGATTATTTAAACTAAGCAATTTGAAAATATTAGATTTCCTTCAAATTTTCATTAAAGTTTTTACAAGTATATCATGTGTACAAATAAAATTAATTATAATGTTAATAATGTTATAAATGCTTATTTTTTATAATACTCATAATTTAAAATAATATAATAAACAGAAATTTTTATTAAGCACTAATGTTTATTCTGATTTCACTATTTTTGCTCTTATTGTCTGTAAGACATAAAATAGACAAACAACTTTAATTGAATTTATATTTAAAATACCTCATCAATAGTTTACTAAATAAATAATATAATAATTAATAATAAAAGCTGAATATATAATACCATATAATAAAAATAAATATTAAATACCACTAATATTTTATATTATGTTCTTTTCTTTTTGTGAGGTTGTTCATATAAGTTTATTTAATTCTTTTCATTTCACTGATGATAATTAAAAATCAAAATGCCACCAAAAAACTCTTCAAGTTTTATTACAGTTTAATTTACTTAAATAAATAAAATACGATTAAATAATATGCTCTGCATCAAATTACTTGTTTAATATAACATCATCTGTACAACAATTATTCAAGTATATAAGAGGTAAATTGACAATCGTAGTGGAAATATTGATATTAATATGTACTACTCTTACCATGATGTATATATACATATTACTTATTTCATGTAACACTATATTTAGAACTAAAAAATGAGTTGTAAAAATATTTGAATTTAAATTTAGATAGAGAATTTAAAATGCAAAAATCTAAATTCATAATATATTATGAATATTTTGTAAAGTATTTAAATAAATTTAAAAACATAAGATTACACTAAAAAGAATAAAAATACAAAAGGTAAAAAATAGTTAAATTAAAGTATTTGGAGTCAATTAATATAAATATTTTTACGAGTTTTAAGAAATCTTTATATAGATTTCATTTTGAAATTCGATATTCTTGATCCAATTTTATGTAGACTCTAGAGCTCAATTAGTAATTTTTAATGCATTATTAGTATTATCAAATATAAATATTAAGTCATGTTAAAAATTATGTGTTTAAAAAATGAATATTATTCTATTATATAAAATACAGAAATAAAACCCGTTACATCAAAATAATTTTCAACGATAGTTCAAATTAATGTTAGTATATAAAGTACGCAACTTTCTTTATAAACTGAGGAACAAGGCTACAAGTATCAAAATATTAGAATAAAATCTACAAATCGCTATTTAAATTGCTAAAAGTCGAACATTTCAACACAATACCTCCCCTTGAAATCAATCAACTAAGTTACGTATAATAATAACTACAGAATAGATACAAAAATTATATCGATCGAATTGTTACAAAAATCAATAATAAAAGCATAAAAATAAACATAAATCGTTTAGGAATCACAATGAAGATATAAATCTCTATCAAATCAAAGATCAAATTCAATCAAATCAAAGATCAAATTCAATCAAATCAAAGATCAAATTCTACATTAAAGTACTGAAAATTTATTATGAAATGCAAATTATTTGATACAGCAAACATTCACCGATTTATAATGATCCTTTACCATAATTAAATAATAAGGAATTTAAATTTTGTGTATTTATATCCATACATGCAAATGTGTATTTACACGAGCCCACTTACTTGCATTATTATGAGCATGCATGTATATTTACATGAACGTACCTGTTTAATACAGATGCATATATATATATATATATATATATAATTGACAGTGACGTTTCGCCGTTTTTATCAAATTAAATTTAAAAAATAACATTAGTACGGAATTATTGATTTTTGTAATTACCTACATCGAAATATTAATTGATTTGACCTGGATTATCAAATTTGATTATCATTTGAAAATTAAACTCATAAAACAAAGCATACATTTGATATTCTTACGACATAGAGAAAATATAATAATAAGAAATTAACGATTTTATTCATTTTAATCCTATAAATAACTGAAGGAAATTGGAGAAACTGTTATTAATAATAATTATTTCATAATTAGCAAATTCTAAAATCTATGAACAAGAAAAAATATGCTACATTTTAAAAAATAATAAGCAGTATCTCAAAAGTTAATCGAAATTTAAATATGATAAAGATTGAATAATATTAGTTAAGAGATTATTCTTGCTTTGATTTGTTATTAAGACAATATAAAATATAACTACAGAATTATATATGAGTCTGTGAGCGAACAACATATTGAAATTTAAATTTCTCCGAGATTAGTGTTAAAATTAAAAAATTATATTTATGTACTGTAATATTTTCTGCAATAAATCGTTCAAACTGGAATGTGTTGGAATAAATTTCAGTTAAAAACTATATAGCTAATAGCTTTAACTTAAATTTACTAGATTACATATAGTTAATAAAACATAATTTTCAATTTGCATTTTAATCTCTATAAATTTTTAATCTGTAACACCGATATTATAGATAAA